TGGCTGCTTCTACAGCTCCATTCATCTGAGGTCTGTAGGCTGTAGAATTCCTGTGCTTAATCTTGAACGTCTCACACATTGCCCTCATCAGATCACTGTTGAGATTTGAACCATTATCAGTGATGATTGACTCTGGGACGCCGAACCGGCAAATGATACGGTCGCGGACAAAGTCTTCCACAACCTTCTTGGTTACTGCCTTATACGATGTTGCTTCAACCCATTTGGTGAAATAATCAATTGCCACTAGAATGAACCTGTGCCCGTTTGATGCGGCAGGCTCGACAGGCCCGATGACATCCATTCCCCAAGCGGCGAACGGCCAGGGCGAGCTTGTTGCATTAAGCTCATTTAGAGGCACCTTTATCATGTCCGCATGGATCTGACAGCGGTGGCACCTTAGGACATACTGGATGCAGTCCGTCTCCATAGTCATCCAAAAATAACCAGCTTGGAGTATTTTCTTGGCTAAGACAAAGCCATTTATGTGCGGTCCACAGGTCCCTGCATGAACCTCTTCCAATAACCTGGATGCTTCCTTTGCTTCGACACATCTTATTAATCCCAAATCAGGAGTCCTCCTATACAGGATTCCTGCGTTGTGAAAGAAGTGATTGGATAGCCTCCGCAGTGTGCATTTTTGAGTAGTGTTTGCGAGTTCTGGATACTCTCCTATTGACAGATACTTCTTATTATCATGAAACCATGGTTTTCCATCTGCTTCTTCCTCGACATGAGCACAGTAAGCGGGTTGATCTTGGATTTTTACCGGGATAGGATCAATGAAGTTCTTATCTGGATGCTGAATCATGGATGATAGAGTGGCCAATGCATCGGCGAACTCATTCTGGACTCTGGGGACATGCCGGAATTCTGTCTTTGTAAACCTCTTCCTCAACTCCTGTATGTGATGCAAGTATGGGAGTATCTTGGAGTTCTTGGTTGCCCACTCTTCTCGAACCTGATGTATGAGCAAGTCGGAATCCCCGATCACTAGTAACTCCTAAACGTTCATATCAATGGCCAGCTTGAGCCCCAAGATGCAGGCTTCGTACTCGGCCATGTTGTTGGTGCACGGGAACCTGAGTTTGGCGGACACCGGATAATGCTAACCTATTTCTGATACTAGAACTGCTCCTATGCCAACTCCTATAAAGTTTGCTGCTCCGTCGAAGAACATTCTCCAGCCATCATAAGATTCTGCAATGTCTTCTCCTATGAAAGAGACCTCCTCGTCAGGAAAATACGTCTTTAGAGGCTCGTATTCTCCACCCACGGGGTTTTCGGCAAGATGATCGGCCAGTGCTTACCCTTTGATCGCTTTCTGGGTCAGGTAGACAATATTGAATTCACTCAGCAGGATTTGCCATTTGGCTAGCTTGCCCATGGGCATGGGCTTCTGAAAGATGTACTTTAGCGGATCCATCCTTGATATGAGATAAGTGGTATAGGCACAGAAATAATGCCTCAACTTCTGAGCTACCCAAGTCAGAGCACAACACGTGCGCTCTAGCAGGGAATATCGAGCCTCATACGGGGTGAACTTCTTGCTGAGATAGTAGATGGCTTGCTCATTTCTCCCTGTTTCATCATGTTGTCCCAAAATACAGCCGAATGCCCCATCCAGTACTGCAAGGTAGAGCAATAGCGGTCTACCCGGTTCGGGCGGAACCAGGACTGGCGGCGTTGACAGGTATTCCTTGATTCTGTCGATGACAATCATTAGTCCATTTAGTGGCGGCGTCCTTTTTCAACATCTTAAAGATTGGTTCACAAATGACAGTGGACTGGGCTATGAACCGGCTGATGTAGTTGAGTCTCCCCAAGAAACTCATAACCTCTTTCTTGTTCTTTGGGGGCGGCAATTCCCGAATGGCTTTAACCTTTGACGGATCCAGTTCTATTCCTCGGAGACTTACGATGAATCCAAGCAGTTTTCCGGCGGGAACCCGAATGCACATTTGGCGGGATTCAGTTTCAAGTTGTACCTTCTCAGTCTGTTGAAGAACTTCCTCAAATCTTCCATGTGATTAGTGGCTCTCTTGGATTTGATGATGACGTCGTCTACATATACCTCGATCTCTTTGTGTATCATGTCATGGAAAATAGTAGTCATGGCCCTCATGTAGGTGGCCCCAGCATTCTTCAATCCAAACGGCATCATCTTGTAATAATACATTCCCCACGGCGTGATGAAAGCCGTTTTCTCCGCGTCTTCTTCGTCCATCCATATTTGATGATATCGGGCAAAACAATCGATGAATGACTGCAGCTCGTGCTTGGCGCAGTTGTCGATCAGGATGTTTATGTTCGGTAAGGGGAAGTCGTCTTTCGGACTGGCCCGGTTGAGGTCCCAGTAGTCGACACAGACTCTAACCTTCCCGTCCTTCTTTGGCACTGGCACAATGTTGGCTAACCATGTTGGGTACTCCACTACCCTGAGGACCTTGGCTTTGACTTGTTTGGTAACTTCTTCCTTGATTTTCAAACTCATATCTGGCTTGAACTTTCTGAGTTTCTACTTTACCGGCGGACATGTTGGATATGTTGGCAGTTTGTGAGCTACAATAGATGTACTGAGACCGGTCATATCATCATACGACCAGGCAAATATGTCCTCATATTCTTTTAAGAACTATGTGTACTCTTCCTTTTTTGACGGTGACAAGTGAACACTGATGCGCGTTTCCTTGACATTCTCTGTATTCCCCAGGTTGACGACCTCAGTCTCGCCTAGGTTAGACTTAGGTCTATTCTCAAAGTCCTCGACCTCTTTAACGATCTCTTCTGGTATCTCATCCTCTTCTGAGTCTATATCCGTTTGTTGTGTTACCTCGTCGCATGTCACACTCGTTGGTTCATCAAGATAAGTAATAGTAATGCTGTGTAAAATAAAATAAATGATAGAGAAAAATAATAAGAGCGAGATTATAAGAAACTGAGATACTTTGATAAATTCCAAAATCATTTTGAACATCGAAGCTCTTTTCAAAATTTTAAAGATAATACTGAAGGGAAATCAACTAGCAAAAAAGTAAAAGATAATGCATAGTGCTTTGTTCAGCCTTGCTACCCTGAAACTTTCCGGGCCTTGGTGGTTCTGATGGACCAATTATTGAGGCATGCTCCTCGGCTCACAGCTTGTATGGAAGGGCCTTCCTCCCCCTCCTCCTCGAAAATGACACAACAGTCCATATTGTCATCTTCCAAGAATAGGTTCTTCATTGCTGCCAATGTTTCATCTTCCTCTGATCCATATATGATGTCTGCTGGCTGGAAAGTTTGCTCCAGGCGGGGTATTGGGTGCTCCAGCGGGTAGTAAGGGCCGCGCCATGGTGGCGACCAGTTCCTGAATTCTTGCCAAGTATATCCATACCCTAACCCGAAAGTGGTGCCATGTTTCTTCAGTTTGATAGGTTTAGTGATTCCCTGGAGGTTCTTTCCGAGCCCTTTGCCAGGTTCATACCCTCTCCAATTCAGTATACTTTCGATCTTGTTATCCCACCACTTATCTTTGTCCACGGCGTTGACTCGCTCAATGTGATGGTAGGTTTCTCCGCCTAGCTTCCTTCTTCCTCCGATGTCTGGGATGGTCTGGAGACTGTATATGGGGTTACTACCGTCGCCATGAATAATCACCTCTTGGTGATTCCACTCGAATTTCACTGCCCGGTGCAGGGTTGATGCTACAGCTCCAGCGGAGTGGATCCAAGGTCGTCCCAGTAATAAGTTGTATGATGCTGGGATGTCTATTACTTGAAAATCAACATCGAACCAAGTTGGTCCCATTTGCAGACATAGACTGATCTCCCCAATAGTGGACCTTTGGGAACCATCAAAAGCTTTGACGTTGATAGCCCTATCCTTGATTTCATGTAGACTCTTCCCCAATGTTCTGAGGGTCACCAATGGACAAATGTTGAGGCTGGACCCTCCATCAATCAAAGTCCTGGTGATGAAATAGTCTTCGCATTGCACAGTGATGTGCAATGCTTTGTTGTGGCCTAAACCTTTAGGGGGCAACTCATCCTCGTGGAAAGTGATCTTATGACTCTCCAATATCTGCCCGACCATGTTTTCCATCTCTCCTCCACTTATGTTACTGGGTACATACGCCTTGCTCAGTATCTTCATCAGGGCATTCTTATGTGTCTCGGAGCTCTGCAGTAGAGCTAGAATGGAGATCTGCGCTGGTGTTTTATTTAATTGATCAACAACTGAGTATTCTTTCGCCTGTATCTTCCGCCAGAGATCATCGGGCCCAGTTTCAATAGGTCGTCCAGAGGCCTGCTTATTTGATTCAACTAAGTGCTCCGGAGTATAAATTCTGCCGGTTCTGGTCATACCCTGTGCTGCAATTGCTTCTCCAGACCTAGTTTTTCCCTTCCTTCTTGCCTCGGCGGTGTAATCCCAAGGAATGGCTTGTGTATGGAATGGCGTTATGGCTGACATTGCTACANATATTTATGCATAAAATGATTAAAGCTTAATATAAAGATAAATGATAAAAATCAAGCAATAAATCATTATAAAATTATTTGTGATGCAATTAGTAATAATTTAGATAATAAAATGTTGGAATAAATTCATTAAAATCCTTTTAAAAATTATGGAAAAATACTGGTTGATGTTCATGCACTATTTTGAAAGTATATAGGCATTTTAAAAATATATCAGGGAAAAATTGGGTATCAACATGCCTTCATTCCAAGTATCTGCAAATGCCCTTACTCTGGTGAACCTATTCATTACCTTTATCCTAATTTCTTCAAGTATGCTAATAATTGTCTTGTGCCTAGGACCCAAACCCAAGCATTGAAGCTTTCAGCCATATTATTATCCATAATGTCACACTTGGAAGAAGTTCTGAACATTGCTTTGCTCCATTCCTCAGGATTGTAGTTTACCAAGTCTTCACAGATCTTGTGACCTAGCTTACTTAGCTTGTCCAAGTCTGATTTACGTTCAGCCTCATAAGTTGACCTTGCACAACTCCAAAATCAATTTCTTCTCTCAATACCCTTCCGTTTCTGTTGCCAGTTAGCTAGAATATGTCTTGCACACATTCTATGCACACATTCAGGAAGATATTCTTGAATTGCTGAATATAAACCCTACAAAATAAGACATTGTTAGTCTAAAAAAAGATACTGTTAGCTTAAAAATAAATATCTTGTTAGTTTAAATAAGTTAATACCTTTTGCATATCACTAATGATTGTCAATTCTGCTCCTTCATCATTGATCTCCGAATCAAACTTCAATATCCTTATAAACCAACACCATGTGTCTTTACTTTCAGTCCCAACTATAGCCCATGCTATTGGAAATATTTGGTTGTTCCCATCCTTTGCAATAGCAACAAATAGCTCTCCTTTAGATATTCCCTTCAAGAAACAACCATCTAACCCAATACATTTTCTGCACCCTTCAATAAATCTCCTTTTCATTGCTGCAAAGCAAATATAGAAGGAGTGAAATAATTTTTTTTCATCTTCAGAATCTGTCACTTTTACCACACATGTACTTCCTGGATTTGATTGAAGGAGCACATCTCTATAATCATAAATCCTGCCAAACTCCTTCACATGATCCCCATCACTTCTTTCAATACTTGTTTCCAAGCCTTCAAACAAAATTTTTTTCCAACATATAAACCCAAATCCTCCCTTGGCAAATCTTGCATCTCCCAACCCTTTATGCACAGCTGTGAAATTATCCTACTTCTATAGTACTTTGCAAGATACTTGGTATTGCACATTGAATTTGTGTTGGTCTTGTTGTAGTTATGCCTAGGATTATAAGTTTTGATAATGAAATCAACAGATTTGGGCTCTCTGCTTGCAAACAACAACCAAGGGCATCCACTAGTTTTGCATTTTACCCTAACACTGTTTTTATCATTTGTAATCTTCTCGAGCTCACAACCTCTTTCTATTGCATACCTGGTGACAACTTCCCTAAACTTATATACATTTTCAAAGACGATGTTAAGTTGCCAAACCACCTTTTTCCATTTTGGATCATACATTACCCTCTTGCTCTCCTTTCTTGCTTTCATGTTACCACTTCTGTCCCAACTGGTCCAAGAAAACACTTAGCAACAAGTTTCTTTCTTGGTGTTCTTTTTTTCTTTTTTATAAGCCTTCAAATCTGTTTTAACTATGTCAACTCTTCATGCACATCACTACTATAATCAGCCTCATGCTCTTCATCATTAGAACTGCTAGATTTATCACTTTCTGCAGCATTACCTATGTCATCTTCCTCTAAGTCTTCATCTTCTATGTCAGAATCATCTTCATCTACTAAGGAGTTTCTAGGAAGTTTTTTCTACAACATATGACTGTTCATGGGGTTCTATTTGACCACTACAATCAATATTTTCAATTTGGGAACCTAAAGGTGCATTGAAACCTTCAACAATCCTACTGGAAGATTCTTCAACGACCCCACTAGTCACATGGCTATTCTGGACCACATTATCTCCCTATGGCATACATAAATATCTATTGTATCCTTATTACTTAACAGCTCAGCAAGTACCAACAAATCCCTATCATTTTTCAATTCTACCAAACTGCCACCCTTAGAAGATACAATATACATTTTTCCTACATTGGTAAACCCAAAATCCTTGGCATAATCAACAATTTCTGGAATAGACAGTTTGTCCGTATCCACATTAAAGGTATATTCAATATTCCCCCCAACATAAATTGGCCCTACCTCACTCACAAGCATACCACCAATATGAAATCTCAAATTCAGATATTTGTCTGCCATTACCCTAATATAACAATAAAAAACAGCAAAAAATAAGGCAAAAAACACAGAACACCTTATTAATCTAACATAAAAAGATTCGAAATCTAAAACTAACAACAAGCAGCATGCATGCAACTATATATTCGACAAACAAACATCGACAAGCAGAAAGATGTAACACCTCAAAAAAAGACCCAAAATTTTCTACTACGAACTAAATCGCAGCACCTACCTATCATAATTTCGCCACAAAATTAATAGGGAATAAAGAATAAAACCTGTATTGAAGCAATCTTCTTTAATAATCTTCAGAATCTTCAAAGAATCAGAGGAAGATATTTCACCAGCAAAACAGCCCTAATTTTGTTATGATTCACCAGCAAAACCCTACCTTTACTCCCAATTCGAAATAGCAGCAACACAATAAGAAGAGAAATCGATGGTAGCAACTAGCAACAATCGGAGGAAGATATTCTTAAACCCTAATTTTAAAGAAAAGAAATCGAAGGTCCGATGAGAGTTCTTCTCTGATGAGAGATATTTTTTTTTACTGAGAGTAAATGACTGACTTATTGAATAGAAAGAGTAAAACCCACTCAAAATAAATTACAACGTAATTAAATTATTGTAGGCTAATTAAGTCCATTTTAAGATTAGTTAGATTAATTATCCACGTGGCATGCCACATGGCAGGTTTTATACTTTTTTTGGAGCGTGTATCATACGCACTAGTAAGAATGAGACGAGGGGTTTTATTATGAAAGGGGGATATAGTTCAGGGGATTTCCGGAGACACTCGATAGTTTAGGTAGAAAACTGACAAAGATCGTATAATTTAGGCGGATTTGAGGGTACTAACTCTTATTTAATCTAGGCATTATGACCTGCAATTATAATCTCAACATAAGTTGTGCACAAACCAAATAATTCAAATTGTACAGACAGTAAAGATGAAATAATATATAATGAAAATAAGTTTTTGAACTTCCATAAAATATTATAAGATGCAAATCTATCATAAGAATATGACTAATTAGTATCTTTTCCATTTAATTAAAAACCAGTGCAATTTTAATTCCATATTAATTATCGAATAACGAAAAAAACTGTTTTAATTGAAAAACAAGAAAAGAAAATGAGACAAAAAGATAGAACGAAGAAAAAAAAAGATAACGATTCTTGGGGAATTGGGACCAAACAAGTTGGAGAAGTATAATGGCAATATAACTGAAAACTTACACTAATTGCCACGGCCCAATTTAGAAAATATCAATGGCTACTGCCACTGGTCTCTGCTTCCTTAGAACTTCTCTGTTTCAAACCTTTTCTTTTACCTCTAAACCGCACTCTGTTACTCTCTTTGACAACAAAGTTCACTCTTTTCATCTCAGAGCAGCAAATGTAACTCTCTTTCTCTAAAAACATGTAACATCTTTTCCTTCCAATTTTCAAGAAAATGTACTTTGTGAGGTAATTTGTCATTTTGGTTTTCTTATTTTGGTGATTACAGATAGAAGGAGGTGAAATTGAAGGGAAAGAGGAAGTGGGTATCAGTGAAAAGAAGAGAATATTTGTTGCAGGTGCAACTGGGAGCACTGGGAAGAGGATTGTTGAGCAGCTTTTGGCTAAGGGTTTTGCTGTCAAGGCTGGGGTTCTTGATATTGATAAAGCTAAATCAACCTTACCGGCTCCAAACTCTGACCTTCAGATTGTGAGTTTTGTTTTATTTTTATTTCTTAAATTTTGTATAGAAATTAAATGATTATTGCTCAATCAATAGTTGATTATGCAGTAGTAAAGTATGGTAGTTTACAGGTCAAATGTTAAGCACAGAGAGGGCCTAGTTTAATAGGGGAAATGCCTTTACATTTCACCTATTATATTTTGGGTTATTTGTCCAATTCTTTTTGCTTTTTCGTCCTTCATTTTGAATAAGTTTGTAATCTTTTTTCCCTGCGTGATTTCCTGCTTATACTTCATCCTCTGAAATAGCTTGTTTTGGTTGATGAATTCAGGTAATACTTGTTGTAATTTAAATAGAAATTGATTAAAATTGAAGATTACATCAAAACTTTTGAAACATGATCATTTAGCATAAAGTTAATAAGATTTTACCTTCTGAAAAAAAGATATTGCAGATGTATAGAAAAGATCAAGGAAAAGTTACTTTCGAAGGGTTAGCGAATAGCTAACTATGGAGTATAATTGTTCAGTTCCATTTATATGTTTTGAATTATTGTTTCGTGAAATCAACTATATTATGTTATTGTCAGGTGAAAGCGGATGTCACAGAGGGATCAGCAAGGCTAGCCGATGCCATTGGCAGTGATTCAGATGCAGTAATATGTGCTACAGGTTTTCGGCGTTCATTGGATTTTCTGGCTCCGTGGAAGGTTAGTTTGCAACCTTGGTATCCTGGTCCTACTTATCAGTATGTAGTTTGAAAGAGATAATATCTTCATGAGACACTTTCAATTTTAATTGCGCAACGACAATTTACTTATCATTTCTATAAATAATGCTTATTCTTTTTCTCTTTTACCAAGTACTATTTGATTCTTGTGGATGTTCTTTATGATAACATGGATTGCAGGATAGGCGTACTGCTCCAAGGAAAAAGAAAAAGAGCCATAGAAAAATGAAAACAAAAGAAAGGAATCCGGATTAGTCTTGTTGACAGTCCAAATCTAATATCAGTTAGAGCAGCTTCTTAACACGATAACACCCTTTCCTTGAGTGCTACCATGGGCTCACTCCTGGACATTGAGAGAAATTATACCAAGTCATTATTGGTCTTTAAAAACTCACAATGGAGACTTTTGTGAGTATGCTACCACAAGAGAGTGCTGCTGAAACTGAATATGGTAGATTTTCTATTTCACGTTAAAGAAACTCCATTCCCCTCCAGAAAAAGAAAATGGAGGGATGAACAGTTTCATGTTACTAAGAATTTCATTTTTTCGTATATGGAGAACATCTTCATTCTTTTCTCAGAATCCAAGTGAGTCGGCTGATAGTAACAACTGTTTTCTCTGGTGGGGTTGTTGGTGTCAATTGTTTTTTTTCCTTCTTTTTTGTTGCTTTTTTGTTCTGTTATACCACCCTTGGCTGCCCTTTAAGTTAATTCAGGTTTACCTGAAGCAATTTCAAATTCAAATATTGGTATCCCAATTTCACCTTTAAGACCTTAGCTCTATAAGAATCCTTGTTATAGCGCCTGGAAAACAGCAATCGAGAAAGGCTTGGTTAAGGCCTACTACATTGAATTGGGAATGGATTTACTGTCGGAAGACCACGTATCATTGAAACTCAAAAGAATCATGTTTCAGGCTTATGAAAGTAAAAGAACATCAGACTTGAATTCCTTTCCTAGCCTTTTGCTGGATTGTAAGTCATATGTGATTGAGGTTCTGCAAAGCCACTTCGAACATAATGGCTGAAAATTTAGTGGATTATAAGGAACAATCATTAGGAGCTTCAATGAAAGTTAATCTGTATGCTTATCTATCCCTTCCAAAGATGAAGCAAACATCATCTAGGTTCTGATGTTTGCTTAGGTGTTGAATTCTTAAGGCACTAGAAATGTCGAGAGGCTTCTCGGTTTTTGCTTTCAACAAAAGAACTGTAGAGCGAGACTGGAGAATGTCCCATAATGATGTATAGAGTGCAAAAACATATCAGCTTTCCATTTCAGTGGCTTGCCTTTATTTGTCTGGTAGTTCTATTAAGTTTCTTTTACTCTTTTAGTGTGGCCAATAAGGCCTCTGTTGATATCTTGCTTTCTAGATCATCGTTCCCACGACTTTCCCTTGGTTGTACTAATTACTCTCGTAATTTATGAAGCAAAGTTTTATCAGATATTCATAGCTCTTCCGCGTCATTGATTATGACATGTTGGTCCACTATATTGATTACTGTTTTGGTAGTTCTTATTGAATCTTGACGTGTTGTCCTTCTATTATGCTTGTTTAACCCCTAGTGCACCCATCTTTTCAGGTTGATAACTTTGGCACAGTGAACCTTGTTGAAGCATGCCGAACACTTGGTGTTAATAGATTCATCCTTATTAGCTCCATTCTGGTCAATGGGGCTGAAATGGGCCAGTTGTTTAATCCAGCATATGTATTTCTCAATGTTCTTGGACTGACATTGGTAGCAAAACTCCAAGCTGAACAATATATTCGGAGATCTGGGATCAACTACACTATAGTAAGGCCTGGTGGGCTGAAAAACGATCCACCTCAAGGAAACATCGTTATGGAACAAGAGGTAGCAGTATGCAGCTTACTATCTCATTGTTGTTTTCCATATCTAGTTGTATGTGTGAACCTGATTTTCCTAAGATGCTCGTTGTTTTCCTTCAAAATATGTAGGATACCCTATATGAAGGCTCAATATCTAGAGATCAGGTAGCTGAAGTAGCAGTTGAGGCATTACTCCATCCAGAATCTCATTACAAAGTCGTGGAGATAGTAGCTCGTACTGATGCCCCTAAACGTTCATTCGAGGAACTATTTGGTTCCATAAAACAGCACTAACTTGTCGAGATGATATTTTCAGTCTAAGTTTATACACATTATTTTATAAATATAGTTACTTGAAGACCCCAATGTAACAATTCTATTGTAACAAAAGATCCTTCACTTTTCTCAGGTTCTTGTGCTTTTACAAAAGACCCCTATCCTCAATGTGGTGCTTATGCTTCACAAAAGAATGGGGTGCTTATGCTTTCCTTAGCCGAGGGTCTATTGGAAACAACCTCTCTATCCTCACAAGGTAGGGGTAAGATCTGCGTACACACTACCCTCCCCAGACCCCACGGTGTGGAATAATAATGGGTATGCTATTGTTGTTGTTGTTGTTGTTGTTGTGCTTGTGCTTTTACAGTTGTTAAAGGTCTGTAGCTGACCACTTTTTTGTTATATTGCAGGGAAACCTGAAACTTTTTTTTAGTTGCGTCGTCGTAATATTTCCTAATAATCCAAAGTTTTACAAGTTGGAAGTGAATTGATTAGAACATTAAAAGAGAGCTCCTCTCTTGTTGCATGGTCTTAAACTTGTCTGCTAATTAGGACTTTATAATCTTAAAGCTACCTTTTCTGGTTTACTTTAAGTTCAAGACCATCTCATGGTTTTCAACAGAAGGCAAAAAAATACTGGGTACAATACCAAATTAGCCGGTCGGTCGAAACTAAATGCATTCGTTAGCTAAAGTCTATGAAATTATATGTATTAATATATACAAAAAATATATATTTTATCAGCTATTATTTTTGGAAGCGACTAAGAATACATTTCCCAGAAATATTTTGCAAAAACACGAAAAATATAACAATAGGCACATGTATGATAACTTAAGATGTTCAACAGTTTTTTTGTTTTTTTTTTCTATAATGTTTCTACACTTCCCCTCCAGCGTGACTCGAATTCACGACCGTTAGTGGAGGTGCTTTACCAAGTGAGCAAGCCTTAGTTGTCATGTTCAACAGGTTTGACCCCAAGTTTAGGCGTCTAATTGATAAATAGTGCTAAGTTGACGTGGCTATCGTTGTATACCAGAAATTGTAATGAAATGGAATTTGCAACCAAGGAGATTCTCTAGTTGGCTTTATTTACCCTCGAATAGGAATAGTTGCAATATCCGATCCATTTATAAAGTGCCGCAGAAAATGTTCAGACGGTACTTATGTATTACAGGTTAATAACATCGTCTAAATATTTATTAATTGAAACAAATAAAAGAGAATGACTTTCCTATCTTGACAGGAAAGAGTTGGCGTGGAGATAACATTTTCGAAATCGTAAGATAACTTAAACATTAGAAAACTTTTTTCTTAAGAATTTTTTGTCGTCGTACCAAATACACTCAATTCTAGTGCAAAAAACAGAAAGAAGACCTAGATATGATCGACCCTTTTCATTTGATGGTCTAAAAATATAGTCCCTACTTATAAAAAGAATTACATGCACCCGAACTGGTAATAATCACATTCCTTGGTGGAAGAAATTAAACATACAGTAGTAACGTAAAATGAATCAATCAGTATTGACATTCGTCATCATGCTCTGATCAATGAACTTTATTGCTGCCGTATATGCCATGAACGATAACCCGACCCGCTCACGCAAAGCAAGAATCTTCAGAGATTCCAGTTCATCTTCTTTTGCACTAGGAGGTCCAACCACAACATTGGGAATATGTTGGATTTTGTGAAAATCTGAAGTTTGAAGCCTAGCACAAAATTCTTCAGGCATTCCTCGAATCTCCAGCTTCTCAAGGTTGGTCAATGATGGCAACTCTTGTGGGAGCATCCTCAACGAGTAGCATTTGAAGATTTGCAGGAACTTTAGTTCTGGCATTGCACCTTTCCCTAGATTCATTTCTTGAATAGACATTAGCTGATCCACCCTCAGAAACCCATTCTCTGATATTGTTGGACTGTCATAGCTGTCCTTCTATAATTAAAAGCCTGAACTAGTTTTAGAACTGACAAGTTGGTTAACTTCTCCAACACTTGGATTGAATCTGGATGGAGCATGGAGTTCACCAAAGTCAGCTGACAAAGGTTGGGTGGAAATACACAAGGTTGAGCTGGCATTGAGGCTAGTCGTCCCTTCAACTTAAGCTTCACAATATGACTCACCTTAGATAAACCAGCAACCAGAGAAATTTGCGACCTACCCTCTACTTCCAAGCACAAGGACTGAAGGTTCTTAAGCTCCGCAAGTGAATCACACAATCGATCCATGTCTACGTCATGATCATCTTGAATGAGTAAACCAACTTTCTGGAGATTAGTCATTCTTGTCAGGTTTTCATTATGCATCCAGTGCTTAACAGCTATGCTGCCTAGAATTTGGAGATTGTTGGGTAGGTCAATCTTCAATTGGCTCGGGGAATTTATGTAACCAAGCAGACGCCGCAGATTCTCTGACTTCCCCAAGACATTTGGAATTACTACAGAATAATACCTAGACATGGGCATATCAATCGTTTCCAAGTTTTTCAACCGAATTATAGAAGGGGGAAGCATCTTTATGCGTGTCTTCCATCCTATGCCTAAGTACTTCAAGCAACGTAGTTTCCCGATACTATCTGAGATAACATTTAAACCAGGAGACTCTATGTATAGCACTTTGAGAAGTTTGAAACTACTACTTGTACAAATACGATCAAGGAATAGTTCAGCAGGTGATGAATCAAAGGACAGAAGAGATCTTATGTACGTTTTTGAATTTCCCAAATAATTGTACCTCTCGAGTGGACAGTAAAGGACATGGTGTCGAGATTGATCAGACAGGACAGTAGATATATTATCTGCATTCTGATCATGGACCTGGAGAAATATTTCATCCTTTGCTTTCATGATACAAAAGTCTCGCAGGAGATCGTGGAGCCGGCAACTTCTAACTCTGCCATCTGCTCTAACTAGGATCACTTGAACCATATTTCTGCCAATGAGCTCATCGAGATAATCCTCCGCAATGTCCTCTAATCTCGGTGGTTCTCCCAGATTTTGATGAATAAGACCATGGGCAATCCATAGGTGCTTGAGCTGCTGCACGGAAATGTCTCTGTCTTTTCGGAGAAGGCCTAAATAGAGAAAGCAAGATTTCAAGTCGGGAGGTAAGTCGTGATAACTCAACGCCAAAATTGCGGATACGCCATAAGTTTGGCTTCCTGCAAGGTGTGAGCTGAGGTTTCTTTTTACCCTCTCCCACTCACTTCTTTGCTTCTTCTTCCCAGCTAAGAGGCCTCCTATGACAGTGATTGCCAGTGGCAAGCCATCACATTTTTCCAGAATCTCTTTCCCAACGTCCACCAAGTCCTCTGGACACTCTCTTTCCTCGGGGAATGATTTCTTGAGAAAGAGTTCCCAGCTCTCCTCTTCATTCAATACTTTAAGTTCGTACGGTATAGTACGGGCATCTGCGTGCAAAGCAACCTCCTTTATGCGGCTGGTAAGTAGCAATCTACTTGACTTATCATTGTCTGGAAATGACCTAGCAAGAAGATCCCATGCTTCTTTGGTCCAGATGTCATCTAGAACAATCAGATAGCGTTTTCCTTCCAAGCGCCTATGGAGCATTTCCTCCAATCCAGCCTCTGACAATTTGTCCATTGTTTCCACAATCTTAACTTTATCTTCTTCTGGATTTGCCAGTTGTAAGATGAGTTCCTTGATGATCTTTGTGGGTTTATAATCTTGGGATACATAAATCCATGCCTGAAAGTCAAACTGGTCTCTGATGTGAGCTTCGTTGTAAACTTCTTTGGCAAGAGTCGTCTTACCGAGGCCACCCATACCCACAATTGAAGCAACACGAAGCCGTCTGTCCTCCCTTAGAAGGATTGACACGACGGCGTTCACATGCTTCTTTACGCCAACAACATCCTTATTGGCAACCAAAGGAGAGGAGCGTCGCAATTCACGCATCTTCTCACGTGTTGTGCTCGACCCTTCCCCAATTCCGAGCCCTTGATATGACATGATGCCATATCTCTCCCGGCTGTTGGATATTTCAAAAATTCTGTTCTGAATTGACTCAATCTCTTTCCCTACTTTGTGAAGCCAATATAGTTTCTTAGGGAAAAGGGCACACTTAATGAAGCTCTTTCGTTCTAGGGATGCAACTTGGTGGATGAATATTTCAATCACATCCTCAGCATGGTAGGCAACTGATCTGATTTCAGATACCCAGGGCTTGCTCTTCCACTTGCTTCATATCTGCATCTTTCAGGAAACACTTGATCCGAACAAGCTCGTTTCCCACTCCTTCAACTTGTTCCTGCACATTTTTCAGGAAAACAACTTCTTCTTTGAGCAGATCAAAAAGCCGCTCTGCAACAAAGGAAACTGCTGCTTCAGCCATCTCTAGTTCTACAATTCACTCCTTTTTCTTCTTTTATGTTACTTCTCTCTTTCCACAACCAAATTCTTGACAAGTGAACGCACTGTCCCATATATATTTATTAGTATTTTTTTATTCTTTCTTCTTTTTCTTTTCCTTTTTTCTTATTTTTTATCATTCTATTATTGTTTTTATTTTGTTTTTTTGTTTTTCTATTCTCTTTCTTTGTATTTTGGTCACCGGCTGAACAAAATGGTGGTCGTTGAAATTTCAAGGATGCCAGTTTTCCGGCAAGAAAAAATTTCCGGTGACAGATTTTTGTCCAGATCTGAGTGTGTTTTGTTTTATATATGTATAAATTTTGAGATAATACATAAGTACCCCTACCTATAGCCGGATTCTCAACTATACACTTTACCCCCTAAACTATTGTAGAATTATTTGCACCCTTAAAGCTTACGTGGCAGAGTCTGTGTATTTCACTCTCCTAAGAAGCAAGAAAAAACGATTTTCAGATTTTTCTTTTTCTTTTTTTACATTTTTTTAGTGAGATATATAATTTCTTTTTTTTTTCTTTTCCTTTTTCTTTGTCTTTTTTCTTATACTTCTTTTTCGTTTCTTCTCTAATTCCGGCGAATAGTCACTCGTCGACGACTTTGTCTAACTATTCTTCTTCCATTTATTCTGCTTTTCTTCTTCCTTTTTCTATCCTTTTCATACACAAATTAAACTCTCAAAAGGATCTATACATAAGCAAAGCAAAATACATTCAGATTTGGGGAAAATTCATCATCGAAAAATCTTCCCATGCTGGAAAAAATGGAGTTATTGAAATTTTAACTGAAAAAAGTCTTTTTTTAACCTAGCAGACACACTTATACTCATATTTTACATCATCATTCGCATCTTAATTATAACATCCATAATCTTTATGCCACCCACAATCACCAATTATAGTCACCATCCAAAAATCTTCTACTATAATAGCCATTTAAAGAAGCGTAGCAGCAGAAAAAGAAAAATATGAGTGAATGTTTGTTATTCCGATTTGTTGGTGGTGACAAGGGTAACGAGAAGAGAAAAGGGAAAGGAAAAGGAAAAAAAAAGGGTTTGTTAATGCTGAAATCTAATGTTTCAAGCGAGTGTGGTTCATTGACCAACAAAAATTTGGTTGTGGTACTTTAAGGCTGAATTTATTTGACTTTAAAATGGGGGGGGGGGGGGGGGAGGTTATAAAATCCCCGCAAAGATAGAGTGTATAGTTGAGAATCCGATTATAGGTCAGGAGGGGTACTTATGCATTTTCCATATAATTTTTTCTTGAAAATGTGATTTATGTGTGGGAGAAAGAGAAAAAGCTGAAAAATGGTGGTCGGAATTTCAAGGACTCCATTTTTTCTGATGCAAATTTTTTTTCCGATGAGTTCCTCGAAAAACAATGAGTTCCTAGAAATTTTCTAGCAATCAACAACCAAAATTTTCTTCCTCGTTCTCTTTTTTATGTAAACTTGATTAATTAAAAAAATAGGACTCCCTCCCTCCACCTCACCACTGAAGCAGTGAAAGGCTGAAGACCCAAATCGAAAAACGGCAGGCACGACGACAATTATTTTTGCAACCAACAGTCCAAACCCTTCTTCTTTCTTTAGTCTTTTCTTGTATACTTGATTAAATAAAATCCTTATTCAAACAAATAATTAACAAGAGCTAAAAGTATGAAAAGAACATAAAAGGGT